GGAGGGTGGGAGGGAGGGAGGAAGGAAGGAAGGAAGGAAGGAAGGAAGGAAGGAAGGAAGGAAGGAAGGAAGGAAAGAAGGAAGAAAGGAAGGAAGGAAGAAAGAAAGGGAAGAGAACTGGCACACTAGCAGTTACATAACTTTGGAAAAGAAATGTCTGTGACTACTGGTCCTTTCCTTCATGCATTGCTATGATTCTTCATATAATTGACATTAAAATAGATAAAGGACAGCACATGATTCTAAATATATGTGTCTCTCAAAAATCAAATAAGTGCATATAAAGAAGTCATTCCTTCTTTTCCAATTTCCTATTCCCAAGGCATTATTAGCAGCTCACTGTTAGTAATACAGAATGTGGAAGCATCTAAACTGTTGTGAGGAACCTTTGCCATTACTTGCTTAGTTAGTCCTCTTAAAATGTTGCCTTTTTGGTGCATTTGCCTGCACAAAAGGAAGGATTATAAGAAAGGATTGTTACACAGTCTACTGGAAATGAAAGTAACTTAAAAATTAACTTATAAGGTTGCTTGCATGTGGTGTTTTTTTAAAAAAAAGATGCTTGGTTTTTTTGACCCAGTGATCCCACTTCTAGGAATATATCCCAAGAAACTAGAAACACCAATCAGAAAGGACATAGGCACCCCTATGTTCATAGCAGCACAATTTACAATAGCTAAGATTTGGAAACAGCCTAAGTGCCCATCAGCAGATCAGTGGATTAGAAAACAGTGGTACATCTACACAATGGAATACTATGCTGCTGTAAAAAAGAAGGAGTTCTTACCATTGGCAACAGCATGGATGGAACTGGAGAGCATTATGCTAAGTGAAATAAGCCAGTCGGAAAAAGATAAATATCACATGATCTCACTCATTTGTGGAATATAATGAACAACATAAACTGATGAACTTAAATAGATCCAGAGACATAGACATAGAAGCATCAAACAGACTATCCAACCTCAGGGGGAAGATGGGGGTGGGGGGAGGAGGGCGAGAGATCAACCATAGCACTTGTATGCATGCATATAAGCATAAGCCATGGACACAGTCAGTAGGGTGGGGTGAGGGCATGTGTGGGGAGGTGGAAACAAGCGGGGAGAGGTCAATGGGGGGAAAAGGATTCATATGTAATACTTTAAACAATAAAGACTTTTAAACATTTAGTAAAATAAAGGAACAACAACAACAACAAAGATGCTTGGGAAAACTTGTAGCATACAGGAAGATTCCAAATATGAGGAACAATTTATGAGAAAATTTTATAAACCTCAGTGGAAAAGACAGGGATGAGCAGTAGAAGTTAGGAAAGCACAACCTATGTGAAGAATACATTTTCAAAAGCGCAAAAAAGCTGATCTGGGTGCAATCTATAACTAGGCAGCCTGACACTTGTACAGCACATTAGAGTTTGCAAAGGTGCTTTAACATATGTGATCTATTTATTCTTTGTCATAGCTCTGGGAAACATTTAGAATAGGTATTACTCCAGTTTTACAGATGAGGAAAGCACATTGTCCTCTGAATACAGCACAAAAAGAAAAAGATGTTGAAAAGCAAGAAAGCTGAAAAAAAGCCCCTTGTGAAGGCTGGAGGCAGCCAGGAGGCTTGCAGTATCTGAGCAAGGGAGGAGAGTGCGATTTCTGGTGGTGCAGAAAGGCATGCCGGGCTGTGAAAGCCCTTGAACTTGGGGGCAAAATATGGAGAGCAAAGGCACTTTTCTAAGAAATATGACCTGAACAGTGAAATAGCAAAGATTCAGTTTTTCCAAAAACTACACACATGCTTTGAGTTTGACCTTTGAGTGTTTGTTAACTCAAAGGAGATTTGAAATCTTTGGTCTGACTGCAGAGGAAAGCCCATAGAATCTCTGAACGAGTAAAAATTTCATGTTTTCATTAAGAGATTAAATACACACACACGTTTCCTAAAATAATTTAAATAATTTTTACTTTTTCCTTCTTTTCTTCAAAGTAGTTAGCAGTTGATAGAGTAGCCTATAATATAGCTTTCTGTGTATATAATCTATTTGAAAAGAAGGGAATATGTCATCTTTTTCATTGATTTAGCTCTAGAGTATTCTGATTTGAAAAATTAAAATGTGAAATCTCATCTCTTTTGACAGCTATTAGGGATGGCACCCCCCAAAAAGCATTCAAACACTATAAAAGCTATTGCAATATTACGTTATTATCACCTGTTAATTAACTGTATAATTAAACATTTTTGCTCTTTGGTTATTGGGAACTGTTCTAAAATCCATTTTCAGATACACGATCATTCAGATACTGAGGCAGTTGCTAAAAAGCATATAGTCAGTCCTGAAAAGTGAATAAATTTCTTTTTTTTGTTTTGTTATATGTGGGGGAGCTGAGCCATCAATAGTATCTTCCACAAGCAAGAGTTTATATTTCTTTCTTATATTCCTTGGACATTTATGGTTGAATTGGCTTTAACCACTGGATGATGAGTGGTGAAACTGCTTTGCCTGTGGGTTGAACAATTGGCAGTGATTTTTGTTCTTGGTTAGCACCAGTTGCATAACATTTAGGGAGGACACAGACCTCTACATAAGAGGAAGGGGAAAGTGAATGGCAGAAAAAAATAAAGGTCAAGTTGACAATGGACAAGATCCTTTGGGGGTCTTTTTCTCTCGCTGGTGTCAGAAGGATGCGCATTGGGACAAAGGAATGCTTTGAGGTGAGAAGGGCCAAAGCACTCTAATAAAAGACTTCAGGAGAGTGTAAATGACCCCGGGAATTCTGTCGCGGTTAAGTTTAATCCTGGGCAAAAGAGGCCCTGGAGAAAGCAGACGAGGAAGATAGGAAGGAAGACAGGGAGGGGCGGGGGGCACTGGGCGTGGAGGGAGGAAGGGGCAGGGGTCGGGGGCTGGAAAGTGAGAGGGCGCAAGTGCTGATTGTGGCTAAGGCGGCGGGGTTGGGGACCACAGAGTGGGGAAAAGTGAAAGTCGAGGGGAGGGGAAGAAGGAGGAGGAAGCAGCGTCCTGGGATCCCGACGGGACCCCTAGCCGGTGGGAGGGCGACGCGGGGTAGCGGCGGGGAGGATGACCCGCCTTGAGCGCCCTTGGCAGCTGCAAGGCCTTGGCGCTCTGGAGCACACTCCATTAGTGGTCCTATGTTCCTTTTCCGGTAGTCGCAATATTGCCCTTTGTTCGCGAAGTATGGAGCCGGGCAGCACGCACAGGCTGCCCCAGCCTGACTCACCCTTGCCGAGTAGGAATGATAGCTT